CCCCGGCAAGTACCCTGAAACCATGTGAGCTGTAGTCTAAACTCCGAGTATCCCTCAAAATAAGCCCTATAGAAGTCCCCTATATAACCGCCTTCAAGGAGTTTAGGCCCTAAAACCTAAACCCTATATAACCCCCTCTAAGGACTTTTCACTTTAAGCCCTACTCCCGTATATAATCCACCTCTATGGAGTTAACCCTATGTAACACCCTTCAAGGAGTGTAGACAGTAGCTCATGTGGGACCTCAACCCTAAACCATAAACCCGAACCCTGATACCTGAACCCTGAATCGTAAACCCTAAACCCTAAAAGCCTAAACCCTAAAATCCTAAACCCTAAACCCTTTCACCCTAAACCCTTTCACCCTAAACCCTAAACCCTGAATCCTAAACCCTGAATCCTAAACCCTAAACCTTAGTCCTCTCACCGGTCCAAGCCATGGTGGAGTTCACCAAGCTTGTGAGAACCCTCAGAGTGGGATCATGGTGTCGGGTTTAATTTGGGGTATAGGGTTTAGGTTTTAGGGTTTAGGGTTTAGGTTTTAGATTTTAGGGCTTAGGTTTTAGGGTTTAGGTTTTAGGGTTTAAGCTTTAGTTTAGGGCCAAGGGCCCAAAAGTTATTACCCCCTAATCTGTGGGTAGAACTCATAAATCTACATGTAAATGGAGCCACAGGTAAGCCCTAAACCCCAAACCGCGTGAGTTTAGGGTTTTCTATAGGGTTCAGTTTAGGGCTTTGGGTGTTACAGGGTTGAATTCAGGCGTAAGGTCTGGGATGGTCAGCACACTAAAACACGCGTAGCTGCCCAAGCAGCCAAACACTCCGACGTGGCACTCAGGACACCTACTAAGGGTCAAGCCTTAGGTACCTATTACAAGAAGGTGAGGGAATCCCAGAGGGTTAAGGGTCTAAGGTCCAAGCTAAGTCCCAAGGAGACTCCTTAATCAAGGACTATGTTCGAAACCCTGTACGCGATCCTGGTAAAACCCTAAACCCTACCCGGACCTAACCCTAAACCCTTAACCCTAATCTTTAACGGCAGCCAGACCCTCGAGGGAAGTGGATATTTGCATATACGGAGATATGCATACATGGGGTTGTGTTAGGGGGATATGTAAAGATTAGGAAAGCACTATGGGAGCCCCTGTAAAGGGACTGGGCCATTTTGATAATTTACCATATACGCACAATTTTTCAATCTAAGTTTGTGAACATCTCCAAGCAACTTCTCCCCTTCAGCTTCCGGGAACTCTGCAGCATGCAACAAGGCGTTTCCCAGGAAGCCCGATACTTCCTCAATTAACTACGTTTAACCTTTAGGTGCCTATACGAGGAGTAGAAGGAAATCCCCAAAAAATAAGGGTCTAAGGTCCAAGCTAGGAGCTAGTTAAGGATTATCTCCAATCATAGAAAGAATAATCTTGGTAGGGTTGAGGGCATGCCGATAAAGACCAATGTGCCTACAACAATTGACTTGTACCAAATAGTCTGGTATCTTTACCTTTTTGAAGGTCTTGGTTAGTCTGACACCAAATCCCCATGAACCTGCATGTAGTCCCACTTCTCATTTCATTGTCCAAGTCCTTTCTTTTCCATTTGAGTCTCCATCATCGGGGATAACCTGAGGGACTCCAAGCCCTAAGCCTCCTAAACCCCAAATTGGGCCCTCTGGGTTGCAATTTGTAGTAGGGCTAGGGGGCAGCATTTTGGGGCCCCATGATAGTTCCATGATGGTAGGCGGCCGGCAGCAACATCTTGGATGAGCCGGAAAGGTAGAGATTGCAGGAGTTGCCTGGCAAGCATCAGAACTACCCCAAAATGAACTACATATGAGGCTCTGGGAAGCAAGCTTTGGGGTATACGCAAGACAACCACGTCTTGAATGTTTGAAGGTTTGAGCGTGAGGTTTGCGGTACTGGGTTGGCAGTTTAGGGTTTAAGGGTTTAGGGTTCTGATTGCCCCTGTCATGTCCCTACAGCAGCGCCAGGCAAGAGAAATGCCCTGACAAGTCAGCAAATCCAATGGGATGCTGTGCAACATTACGGCAACCAACGCCGAACAAACAGAAGCGCTCCTGTGGAACAGCCGTTGAAAATGTTCGTCTCAAGAAAGGGCCCCTTGATGCAGCCAGTATAGCCCCAATGCTCTGGGGACTTCCAACGAGAGAACCCAAACCTTTTGCATTTGACTGCCCATGCCTGCTGCTTTCCGGACTCAACGGTGAGGCCACCAAGTTAGTGGCCTTCAGCCTTTGACCGGACGTAGGGCATAGACCAGTAATCCCAACACCCAGCGCCCCTAACGTTAAACATATCTCCTTATGTAGGTCCATTATAGGGAATACCTAATACTAGAGGGTGAGAGGTGTTGAATATTAGTGACAGTTTGAAAGGATAAGGACCCGCAGGTACAACATATTCAGGCTCATGCTTCGGTAGGCCCTTGGAGAAGCCCTACATTTGTGCGCTGACCGAAACCTCATCTACATACTGGCTTTTTGTCCGGGAATGTGTAGAGGCCCCTAAACCCTAAACCCCGAAACCCCACAGGGTTGGGGGTTTAGGGGTTTAGGGTTGCCCCTCTTCCATGCAAAAGCACAACCTAGACCCAAAAGACCTTCAGTTTTAGGGCGTGATAGAAAAACTTTCTATGAAGTTTCCAAATCCAAAGGTCTCTGGGGTCTACGGCAACTATAGGTAGAACTCCCACTTTAGCAGGTACATGGGTTACTAAACCCTCAACCCTAAATCCTATGGGTAAAGCCTTCATCGAAGTTTGTGGGGGAAAACTCTGCACGCGACAAACGCCTTCTTCGCGGCAGTAAGTCTTCCAGAAGAAGATCTGGCAGTTTCCGCGGGTTAGGGGTTTAGGGCTTCGGGTGGGGCTGAGACTTTTTGAGCCAAAAAAGGGGGAGTGTAGGGTTTGGGGGGTTCAGGGTGCGGCCCTTAAAAATCCAAATGTTCAGGGGTGACTGTTGAAAATTAAGTGCAAGTTCTGGGTCCTTTGCGGGGCACGGGGTTGGGGGAAGTGTGGAGGAATTCGCCTTTATGACATCGGAACAGTAGAGTTTGGGATTCGGCCCCAATTCGAAAGTGAGCATGTCTCCTAAACCCTAAACCCTAAACACTCGGAGCAGCTTCCCCAACAGGATCGACTTTATTTTGATTTGTCTTGCACACTCAAAAACTTAGCTTACTGGTTTGTAGCGGGGAAAAGGAAATCTTATCCCTATATAATACCAAAATATTCATAATATTCTACTCCCTTCCTAGACCCTCCTCCTACCCTCTATTAGGGCCGAAGTACCCACTATTAGGGACCATATATCCCCAATTAAGGGTACAAGGAGTGTC